TATGTGCTGACGCTGCTTCTTTCTCTGCTTCCGCTGCTGCTCTGGTTGCTTCTGCGGTGCTCTCTCTGCTTCCCTTGCTTCATTTTCCGCTTTCAAGTTAGTCATTTGTTGATCCATCTCAGTCAACTTTTCTTTTAAACGACAAACTTCTTGGTGGGAAGATCGAGATTGTGATGACATGTACTGTGATGAACTTGATCCAAAATATTTGGTGGGATTAACGATTGATCCTTGACAGCGCACCCAACCATATCTTTCAGGACCTAAAACATCGTTAATAACTTGGTTTTCAATGTCATCATTATTAACAATACCTTGACTCGAAGCAGTAACATGATACTCCGCCTTTTTCTCCCTCAATATTTCCTAATAAAGTGAATAATTAATTAAAATATAAAATGTCATGATACAAATATAAATAAAGTCAGGTAAATTTAAAACATCTACCCAAAAAACGTACCATAATTTTGCAGCGTCAGCAGTCATAGGAGTGTCATCCTTCTTCGTATGTGTCATGTCGAAGAGTTGGATTCTACCAACTTTAGAACTGGATGTATTTTCCTAAAATGTACCATAATATAATTACTATGAGTTAGTATGTACATGGAATACAAAAAACTATTTCAATAATCTATAATACCTCCTCATGAGCTATACAAGCAAAACTCTTTGATCCAGCCGTGTGCGTAAACTTTTGTTGTTGCCTGCTAGCAACACCAATATGCTCTCGGTCCTACAATGTCAAACAACCACTTTTAATGATGATTTACAATTCGTTACAATTATTTCTGAAAAATACATCATACCTGTCCTTTTTGTGAACTCCAAATCTGGCTGCATCTTCCCATTGGTACCTTAGCATTCCTGGTGGGACTGTTTGCAACTTCTCTTCAAGGCTGAGATCATTCTTGAAGTATTTTTTCTTTAAGGAGCTCTCGTGATCCCTCCATCTCTTCCCTAACGTTTGCTTCACATAATCGTCAGAGACCTCTAAAGAAAATTTCCCCTATACAGCAAATAAGTGTGCACCGTAAGTATAAATTAGTATTGAATTTCTATAGAGTATGTAATTATAATGACATTATTACCTTAACAAAATCCAACGCTTGATTTTTGTTACTATTAGGCATTTCGCGCCATGACTCGTAATTGATCAGTAACAGATTCACATTACGTCCAACTAAACGCCATTCTGTTTATTTAATGATTTCATTGATGTCATCAAATTTTTATTTGTACATTTCCTTTCAAAATTGTGTATACTCCTGTGGTTTTTTCATGCTAACAGTAACAATGTTTAATTGTAGCAACTTTTGCTGAACATTAACTACTTTTACTGTTGATGTTACTAATATCTCTTTTTTATTCTCTGTAACTTCATGTTTTTGTGAAGTTTTGAACTTGAAATATTGGAATTATTCTGTAATTTTTAGCGGTTTTCTTATATTTGTAAAGGTTTTGAATTTACAGGAAACCTAATATGTTTTGAACAAGGGCAAGAATAATTTTTTTTGAACAAATGTAGGTATTCAATCTCCTACTACAAAACTCAGTTGTCATAAAATTTGAAACAAATAAAAATCAATCAACCCTTAATTTGGTTGACCAATGGTTCAAGGTTGACTAACCGTTTCGATTCTGAGGCTGCGCTGGTGGAGAAACTTTTGGTAGGACGCAAATTGGAGAAGGGTTGTCAAGGACGCAAGGTCAACGGCAACGTGAGGCTGCGCTGGTGGTGGTTGCGCTGGTGGAGAAGCTTGCACTGCTGGAGAAGGTTGCGCTGGTAGAGAATGTTAGGAACGATATTCAGTAAATGGGTAGGAAAATTAGGGATTTGGAACAATGGGTATTAAATTGTTTAACTATTGCGGTGTTTGTTTATACAAACGCCGCAATAGTATCATGTATGGTTGTGCTTTTAACATAAACGTCGCGTTTGTACATGTCAATACTGGTGTTTTTATACAAACGCCACTATATATCAGGATATTGCGGCGTTTCGATTAAAAACACCATAAAGGAACTACTCTATTGCTATGTTTTTTACGAAAACGCCACTAAGGAACTATCTATTGCGGCGTTTATTAAAAAACGCCACCTAATAACAACTTTATTGCGGCTTTTGTATCCAAAAACGCCACTAAAGTATAACTTTTTAGCGGCGCTTTTTACCAAACGCCACAAAATTAAGAGTATTTTACGGCGTTTTTCTAAAAAACGGCAATAAAATAGTATTCTTTACCAGCGTTTTGGATACAAACGCCACAAAAGTAAATCTATTGCGACATTTTTGTATCAAAAACGACGCTAATAACATTTAATTTACATAATATTAGTTCAGTTTACAACTAATCATTTCTGCTCTACATCTACTAAATTCACTGATATATGTAGCTTTATATAAGTAACAACAACCATACATTTGAATTAAGACATAAGGTATGCATAAAAATGCTTAACAACATAATACATTGCAATTTAGAAACATTAAAGCTATGCATAAACAGTCTTCACCATATTGCTCAATAGAATTTAGTTTTGGTCATTCGTGGGGAAAGGATGTAAGAAAGTTGTTTTTCTTGTTTGACTACGCATCGTTAAGTTTTTCGTCCTTGTAAACTCTATATGGATCAAACTGTGCAATTGTGTTATAGTTCGTCGGTGAGAGGCCCAATTTGGTCGCCGGGACATACAAACGACGTCGTCGCTTGGAATCGTTTGAGAGCTGTTGTTGTACCAGAGAAGAATCTTTGAGGGAAGAAGAGTTTAAATTATTTTAAGGTTCAGGTAAGAGAAAAGGAGGACTATATATTTAACATTTTGCGGCGTTTATACAAAAAAATACCACTATTGATTACACTATTCTGGCGTTTGTTAAAAAACACCACTATTGATTAACACTATTGCGACGTTTGTCTAAAAACGCCACTATTGATTAACACTATTGCGGCATTTTTCTAAAAACACCATTATTGATTAACACTATTGCGGCGTTTGTCTAAAAACGCCACTATTGATTATCACTATTACGGCGTTTGAGGAATAAACGACACTATATGTATAATATATTACGACATTTGTGGTATAAACGCCGTTAATTTACCACTCTATTAAGGTGTTTTGGCTCAATCGCCGCAAAATTTATACTCTATTGCGGCGTTTATACCACAAACACCGCTAATTTACCACTCTATTGCGGCGTTTTGGCTCAATCGCCGCAAAATTTATACTCTATTGCGGAACGCCGCTAATTTACCACCCTATTGCGGCGTTTTTTGTAAAAACGCCGTTATATTTCAACTCTATTGCAGCATTTTTACTACAAACGCCGCTAAAGTATCAATTTGTGGCGCTACGATTGTAAACGCTGTTATATGTTTAACTTTTGTGGCGTTTCTTCTCCAAACGCCGCTACATATCAGTTTTGCTGTAGTGCTAGTATTACATTTTAAGTCCTGTTAAAAGTATTTTTATTAATTTTTTAGTAAAAAAATTAAACTTTATTTTCCATTATTTAAAATTTATTTTAAGACCATCAATTATTTTTTATTAATATATTTTATAAATTTTAATTATTTAATATAATTGTGATTAAAATTTAAAACATTAATTAAAAAAATCAATAACATATAATTTTAATGAGACAGCTTAGCTATGTTGGCAGATTATAGCTGATTGGAACTGTTTTGTTGAGTATCGCAAACTTTTATCGCATGCATATGATTTTGCCAGCTACTGTGATCAGGTGGGTTGAGTAGTTTTGTTCAAGGGTTTTTTTTTTAGTTGTGACGTCCCTACTAAGGGGCCAAAGTTAAATGGGAGAGTATCTGTATCGTAAATCTGAGGGTGGTTTAGAAATCAATAACTTGAAATGTTGGAACAAAGTTTGTGTGGTGCTGTTGATGAGAAACATTCCTGCCGATGAAGGTTCATTATGGGTTGCTTGGGTTCATGCGTATATCTTTAAAGGCATTGACTTTTGGCAGGCCGATAGCAAACCATATTTTAGTTAGAACTTGAGAAAAAAAATAAAAAATGAGAGATGAGGCCAAGCCTCTGTTGGTTTGTGTCATCAGCTGGACAAAGATTACAATAAGGTGGTTGGGGTGTGAGATTAGAGAAAAGGAGGAGAAGGTTGTATGATAGAAACTATTGTGATTTTCTATGAATGTCCCTAACCATTCGTTCATTGCTTGGATGCAGTTCTGGACAGGTTGTCTATTGCTGATGGGCTGCTCAAAGTGGGGATTAGTGTGGATGGTAGTTGCAGAGATTATGGCGGGGGGCAGCAAACTCGAGACCATATTTTGTTTGAGTATTCATTCTCAAGGGTGGTCCGTGAGGCTGTCCTTAGGTTGTGCAATGTTGGTAAAGCTGTCGGGAGCAGGAATAAGGAGTCACCCTTGTTTATTAATCTTTTCAAGAGTAAATCGCTCATTGTATATGTCCTTAAAGAGATTTGGTGTGCATACATATACTGCACATAGAAGAGAGGAATCATAGACAATTTTAAGGTGTCGCTAGACGTGCAGGCGATATTATAGATAGTATTAAAGGAATTGTTGGGACAGAAGTGCATAGAAAAGTATTAGGTGTGCTGTTGTAAATCAAGCTCTCTGTCTAGTTGGGGAATTAAATCTCCCTAGGTTCTGTTTTTGTAATTGTTCTTTTGTAGCAATGAGTTTTCTCCTTCTTGAGTAATAAATAAAAAAATGTATAAAAAAAAAAGATGCTGACATTGGTTTAACGTTGTCATAAGAAACGGTTTGAGAAACCGATTTAAGAATCATTTCGTTGTTGTAATGTCACATTTGTGTAATCATGAAGTTAAGCAGTCGGTGAAGATAAATGGATATCCCAATGTAATGGTACGTCGACGATGATTATATATGATCAATGATAATAATTGGATGAGGTTAAACGCATTAGAATGTTAAATTTATCTCAGATTTAGGGTTGTCGGATCCCACAAATAAAAAAAACTAGAAGGGAACAAAACATTAAATTAAAATGGTTAAAACTAAAACACACATTAACATTAACAAACAAAAAAAAAGTAAACAAAGATGACGACTAATGATGGCTCACACAGATTAAGCTATTCATGGTAAAACTCCAAAACTATTTCAGGGAAATGGAAGTGCACCACTGTCACCTCCTGCTCCACCTCCAACAGCGCCTCCTACGCCGCCTCCAGCACCAGCGCCACCACCTGCACCACCAAGTCCACCCAGAGCGCCGCCGCCTCCAAAGCCACCAAGGGGATTAGTAAACCCAGCAAGACCACCATCACCACCGCCGGTACCGCCAAGTCCACCTACACCATCGAGACCCCCAGCACCACCTCCGAGTCCACCGAGACCCCCAGCAGCGCCACCAAGTCCACCTGCACCACCGAGAGCCCCAGCACCGCCGAATGGCAAGCCATTAGAGCCGACCCCCGAGAAGCCTCCAACGCCACCGTAAGTGATGAAGTTCTTCTTGTCTTCTACAGGAGCGCCACTAGCACCGGTGGTAGCAGTCATGGAAGTGGTTGTGGGCACATATCTTGCACTGGCGTGAACCACAAAGAATGCAAGAACGATCAACGAACACCACTTTGCCATATCTATTTTCTCTATCAAAACACTCTCTCTTTGGTGTGTTTCTTGGCACCTGATATGTGTGGAAGACCTCCTTTTTAAAGGCTAAGGAAAACAAAGCTGTAGTATGGGACAGTTGTGAGCATTGAATGTGTTTTAAATGCGTAGGTACAGAGTTTTGACATCTTAAAATTTTCAGCAAACCATACACCTTAACATTTTTTTTTCAAGTCAAATGAAATTTGAATAATGTTTTTATTGGAAGAAATAAAATAAAATTATGACTGTAATTGGTGATTCATTTATCTTATTTGAGTAAATAGCCGCAATTAATGTTATTGATAAGTTGTAGAGGATGATTCATTGTGTGTTCCATGTGATTCAAAAGTAATTATTTTTTTCAATCATATATGGTGGTTTATATAATGATATTTAGTGTGTATGTTAGGTTTAGATTATAATAATTATTTGTAAAATGATAAAGTTTGTAGATATTATTATTAGATACTCTTTCTTCCCTCATCCTCATTTATATTGTTCATTGTTGATTTTTCACGTAGTTTTAAGAAGAAAATATTTGTGTACGATATATATAGTAAAAAAATTAAAATGACAATTTTATCATCAAAAAGTTAAAATTTATTTTGTTGGGAGGCTTAATACAAAAATAAGTGATCAAATTATACTCAAAAAATGTTTTAGTGGTTAAAGAATTATGTTTTTTTAATAAATTAAGTTTTTTAAAATTTTTCTTTTTCTTTTTTAAAAATAATATTTTTATTATTAAAAAAACATAGTGATAGGCACCTAAAAATATAATTGAAAAAACGTTAGGAACCTATTTTTAACAAAAAATTCTTTAGGCACTAAATTATTTTTCGATGCATATTTTGGACACATGTTTTTGTATTAAGCCTTGATGGAAAAATGATAGAAAGGGAAATGTGCTTAGTAAGGGTTGTTGTCTTTTTCAAAGTGATAATTTAAATGGAACAATTTTAAAACACAAAATAGATAAATTTAATAAGACATAAAACAATAAATTTGATTGTAACTATATAGAGGAAGTGGAGCTTTGAAGATTTTAAGCAATTCTAAGATAAGAAACTTCATAGGTTCCAGAAAAACTTTGGAGGCCTCAAGACTTACTAGGTGAATAATATAACACTGGGGTCGTCTAGAGAGGACATCGACCTTCGAAAATTTCTTGGAGCTTCGAAGGAGTTATAGCAAATTTCTAATATGTTTTATTTTTTGGTTGCCCTTCAGTTCCAAAGCTTTGTCTTGACTAATGTTTTCAAAACCGGACCGGACATTGAACCGGTGAAGGTACTGGTTCACTGGTTCAACCGAGTTCAACCGCGGTTAAACAGGATTTTATATAAAATAATATATTTTTTTAATTTTACATAATATTCAAAGCAATATTAATATATATGTAACACTTTTTTTAAGTTTACAATATTAAAAGGTATAAAAATATCACAAGTCATAACATGTATAAATGAAAAACCATAAAATCAAGTGAAACAAAATGAATCAAATCAACTACAACATAATATTTAAGGTAAAACATATTAAATAATAAATATAATTATATAACTATAATCAAAAAAATAAAATTGGGGTTTAAAAAAATCATAATAAATGATGTCATTTGGTTTAATTGTTTAAAAAAAACAATCTCACATGGCTAAGAAACATATAAGAGTATCCCAAAAGTTTAAAGAGTAAAAATATGAGAACAAAACAATCCCACATGGCTAAGAAACATAGAAGAACATCCCAACTTACTTCTATAAATAATAGAGGTAATTTGACATTCAAAATCATGGAGCCTTTTGGTGAGTACAAAGCGAACTATTCTTTCGCTTCAATTGAGCTCAAATTTTAGGATTCAATTGAGCTCAAATTTTAGGCTTCAATCGAACTTCTAAATTTTTTTTTGAGTTTGAGCCTTTTCGATTTCAAGTTTTAATATTATATTTCGAGTTGATAATTTTTAGCTCGTGAGTTTTTGAGTCAAGTTGAGCTTACTTTTAAAGTTTTCGAGTTGATTCGAGCTCAGCAATACTCGAATTTGACTCGGCTCGTTGAACAAATGACGTTGTTTGGTTTAATTTTTTTTTAAAGAAAAAAAGTGAACCGGCGGTTCAAACTGGTTTTGCCGGTTTTCAGCCGGTTCACCCCGGTTTTTAGCCGGTTCTTCCGGTTCTTTACCGGTTCTGTGCTAATCTGGTTTTGGGAGTTAACCGGACCGGACAGGCCACCGGTTCACGGTTCAACCGGTCGAACCGGCCGGTCCGGTCCGATTTTAATAACATTGGTCTTGACTAATTTGAATAGACATGGGTCGCACACCTAACTTTGGTGGGTTAATCTTCCAGCGGGATTTTTCTGCATACACAATGACACAAACCTAAGACATTGTTTAAGCGATATCAAGTTGCTTACAATTTGAACCAACCCGTCACTATAAATATAGAAATTATATGATAGTATATGTTGCAACCGTCTTTCGGGTGAGCCCGGAATTGGACTCCGACTTAAATAAATGGGTTAGAGTCGCCACCGATCATTCATTTTAAGAACAAAAATTAGGTTGATCGGACACCTCGGTTTGTTTTCTTACCTGATTTGCGTCTTACCAAAAATATGTCGGGCTCGAGAGTCGGTTACAGTCAATGAAGGATTAGCACCCTTGTACTGGCCTTTCGGTACTAATTTAATTTTCAGTTGTCTTAATTAAGAAAATTGCAAGTTAAATTGAAAAGTAAAAAATTCGATCCAAACTACTTACTTTTAATCGATTTAAAGTGACCCTAAAAAAGGTCATAAAGAGGTTAGATTATAAAAATAAAATATGGAGTGATTCAAAAGGAAGAATTAATGAAAATTAAATTCTAATACTTTAAATAAAGAAAGGAAAAGAGATACATAGGTACATACATGCCGAGAAAAGAAAAATAAATGGACATAAAACTAACAAAATGAAATGCCAAAAATAAGTTCATGCCACATAAAGGAACGGATCGCACAGATTTAAAAAATGAAGATTAAAAAAAAGACGAGATAGAAGAAAAGTTAATTAAATTAAAATAAAGATAAAATTTCAATTGCAAGATCAAAGACAAACAAAGCCAATTTAAAAATTAATTAAATTTAAAAAATAGAAAAAATAAATAAAATAAAACGATTCATGTCGGGTCAAAATCATGTAAAGCATAATAATATACTAAATATAATTAAACGAAAACGTAAAAAATATATAAAAAAGGACCAAATTAAAAAATAAAACCAAGTGAAGGAAGAATTTAAAAGAAACTTTAGCAAAATTAATAAAAAAGGACAAAATGAGTTTCCAGTAAAACCTTAAGGGACTGAAAGCATTATTTTACCTTACCCGTGCAAAAACACGCTGGTCTTATTTTACCTTCCTCATTTTTCATCTCTCCCTCAAACAAATAAAAAAAATCAAAACCTCTTAAATGTTCTTCGAACTTGAAGAACGCACGACCGGTGTTCATAGAGAACCCAAAATCCGGCCGTGCTCTGCCTCGCTGTTCATCGGCGGTGAAACCCAAAAAAAGCCTACACTTTTCGAAAGCCCTTGATATCATCTCTTCAAAAATCCTATTTGTTTTCACAAAAAAGCCTTGGGGAGGACTAGATTTGAGAAAGACTTCTCGAAAACCCTCCCCCCCCAATCATCGGCTGTTCTTCTTTAGCACAAGTTTTTTTCGAAAGAAAAAAAACAAAATGAACCATACAAAACCACATGCAAGTGCAAAGCCGAGAAAGGTAAAAAAGATACATTTTTTTATTCGTGTTTCCTTTTGAAATTTACAAGCGTTCTTTGCCTTTTTTCTAACCTATTTTCCCTTTGATTTTGCAGGGATTTATAGCCTTACAAATCCTTTTTTCCGTTCAATTTAGAGTCCTAGTTAGGCTAGGTTATTGAGATTGTTAGCTTAACCTCCCGAAAATAGTTTCCCACTAGGGGATAATGTCTTCAAAATTGACTGGAAAAATAGAGGTTGTGGCCGAATCCCCCTTGCTAGGCAACAAGGGTTGTTAGGTTTAGAAACCCCTTTCACTGATCTTTGCTTTAGGCTGTTGGATCTCATCTTGATCCAACAGCATAGACACTGGCGGCTGGGAGCAGAAACCAAGAGGCGGCGGTTGGCTTTCTAGGGTTTCAGAAACCCTAGGGTATTAACTGGGCCAGGTCGGATCTTCTAAGGGTTGGAGCTGGGTTGGCCTGTGTGCGGGTTGGTCTTCAATCGGGTTCTGGGTCATCTTATTTGGGCCTTGAAACACTGGTTGTAATTGTTTTTGGGTTGAACTGGGCCTAAACATAAACAAAACAAAAAATAATAAATAATATCATATAGTAAATAGTATATATAAAGATACATATACATATACTATATAATACAAGTGAATATAATGACGCAATCTATACACGCTATATAATTTAAGTATATATTATAAATATATAATATCATATGTATATACCATATAACATAAATAAGTGACATAAATAATGTAATATATACTATACAGTATACATATATAATCATATAATAATATAAACAATATATTATATAACTGAGGTCGGACGAAAATGTGTGTCTATAGTATAAAGTAAAAGTGTCTACAATTCTAATTTTTGAAGGATGGACAGTATTAGTTTGAGTAGTTGAACGTAGAAAAAGAATTTAATTTTGGTAGTTTTGATGGGATCTTATTTAGGGTACCAATCATAATCAAGAGGCTTAATGGCTTAAAAGATTAAAAACTGTAATTTATAGAAAAATTGGTTTACCAATCAATGCAGAATTTGTAGCGAACATCGTTGAGTTTATGAATTATATTATATGCAATCGTTCACAAAAGGTTTTAGGATCTATCATACAAGTTCCCTGAGAAATATGATTGATCGTAACTTAATGAGATTGATACATTTTTTACATGCATTTTAAGTCATTTTTTTCTTTGAAATTGTGTGTCAATAAAATTCTATTATCTTAACATTATATGGATTATTATCTCATATATAATATTAAATTTAAGATTTGAAGAATATAGGCGTATGCAAAAATGACATGCTATGATGTTCATCTTAAATTCGTAGAGAACTTATATGACAGGCATATTATTGGATAAAAAATGTATATTATATGCTATTTTCTTTTTCAATTTCAATGGCTGTTTTGTTTTAAACTGAAATTAATTGGTTATATTGATTTATAAGTAGGAATTGTAGACAGCATTAAAATAAAATAATGATAAGTTTATAACATGTTTGTAATATTTGAAGGGAACGCTAATTGTTATATTACACGTGTATTATCAGGCCGTATCTTGACCTGGGCAGAAGGGATACCTGTTTTGGCTAAGAAGTAGCATACAATACTAATTGTATGTGCATTATTGCTTTTTTCGAATTTTAATGCATGTAGGAAAAGAAGTAACATGGGAGCTAATCAAGTATAACTCTTGAAGGTCGCGTAAACCATATCTGCTTCTAACAGTGCATTGCTACAGATGAGATAAATCCCGGAGGAGTTTGTGTCGAGCCTCCTGCCACACTGTACTTACTCTTGTTAGTTTTTAGGGTAAATTATGTGTTTAGTACCTAAGCTGTCAGTTTTGGTATGTTTTAGTTTATAAACTTTTAATTTTTTTCAAAATCATACTTAAAGTTTAGTTTTTGTTTCATTTTAGTACACATGTTCAAAATTTAACGTTAGGTTTTGAAAATAATCGAAAGTTTAGGTGCTAAAACGGGACAAAACTGATAGTTTAGATGCGTTAAAATGAAACAAAAACTAAACATTAGTTATGACTTTAAAAAAATTAAAAGTTTAGGTACTAAAACATCATTTTTTTTAAATTTGGTGTGATTGCACCAAATCTCATATATTAATTATTATATTTATTAAAATTTTAAACCTAATTATATTTTATTTGAAATTTAATTTTCTGTTATATATAGTATAATACTTAAAAAGAATATATTAAAAACTTAATACATTAATTAGTTTTGAGCTGTTAGGATATAAATTTAACTACAATTAACGAGTGATCTTAATGGTAAAATCGAATGTTAGAATCTAGATTTTAACCGTGCAATCAATAATTAAGAAAAAGTATGTACAAACACTAAACTATTAAAAAATTAAATTCAACTCATATTTAAATAGAATTAATTTTTTTATTAATTTTTTTTTCAACCTGATATATTTATAAAAAATCATTTTGGACGAGATTTTGAGGTTTAGACAAATAATCTCAAATTACAATCCCTTATTGTAAGAAGAATACAAAATCACAATCAACGGATGAATGATGATTCAAAATTATAGCTACTTCATCTTCTTCCCAGTCATGCAAAAGAATCGAAGTCATGATATCATTTTATTTTAAGAACATATAGACAAATTAAAAGCGATCGAGGGAATTTGCTCATAAATGGAGAGATAGATCAAGCTTTTAATCTGTGCCCTTGTATTCTTCTATGCCAATGGATTGATCGTCACCCTGATGAGCCAAGCCCCCATTGCACCCGTGTGCTCCTCTGCCAATTCAAGTACTCCCGCTCGTCTTCCTCTAATAGAACACGATGTTTCCCATTCCAATCGAACCCGGTAGCACCACCGTTCGATCCGAATCCTTCCGAGAAACACCGGAAGTTAGCAGCGTGAGACATCGGAAAGTGTAAAATGCCTAGCAGGTGGTAGCTCGTGGGGGGCGCATAATAGAACGCCGGAGAAGACGACGAGAAACTACTGGTCGGTCCATTTTCGGATGCCATTTTAGCCTTCCTTGTGGCGATTCTTTCCTTCTTGTGAGCGTTTTGATGGCCTCCCAGTGCCTGAGAGCTGTAGAACTTTCTTGAACAGAACAGGAAAGAGAAAACCCTGGCTGTTCCTTGTTGGCTTTCATTGTGATCGTATTCCATGGTGGTAGAGATCAGTGAAAGAAGTGGGATAAACAAGTATGGGAGAAGTGAAAATAAGAGTGATGTAATAAGAAAAGGGTAAGGAAGATGGTCCAGAGAAGTGGGATTTGAGATGAAACATAATATAATTGTTGAATGGAGGGATGCTTGAGCTTGATTGTACATGGGGACTGTATGGCTTGGGAACCGAAGAGATAAGCATGGGTTGGGGGAAGTATTTTCCAAGACGTTTCGGCATGCTCAGACCAAGTATGATATTGGTGGGAATAAATGTTTTTGGCTAGGAAATATCATAATCTTTGTTCTCTTCAACACTATTTTTTTTCTCATACTCTCTAAAATTTATTGGATAATGTGGTTGGAAAAAGATTTGATTGTGTAGGGTGTTAGAAAATTATCTTCTTAATTAAGGTTGAATTAACAGTGTAGGGGATGTATATTAAAGGGGTTTGAGTTGTGAGTATATTAAAGAAGGGGGTTTGGTTTCATATTCTGAAAGCATAAGGCAGGCACATGGTGGAGAGCGAAGAGTGTCATAAGAGACACTACAACAAATTGTTCTGGGCGTTTTTAGCGGTGTTTTTGTGGGTAAACGCCACTGAATTTAAACATATAGTGGTGTTTTCATACCAAACGCCAAAAAATGGTGACATTAGTGGCGTTTTGTACAAACGCCGCAATAGTGTTAATCTATAGTGGCGGTTTTACAACAAACGCCGCAACAAGGTAGTAATTTCGTAGCCTTTTTTTATACAAACGCCACAATAGATTCATCTTTAGTGGCGTTTCCTACACAAACGCCGCATTGGATAAGTACTATAGCAGCGTTTTGACAAAAAAGCCGCAATAGGTTCATTTTTAGTGGCGTATTTTTGAAAAACGCCGCAAAAAGTAATACATCAACGGCGTTTTTACACAAACTCAACAACATATTTGTACGTTAGTGGCGTTTTTAAACAAACGCCGCACCAGAGAAGTACTATGCAATTGTGTTAATCTATAGTGGCATATTTCGAAAAACGACGTAAAAAATTAATACATCCGCTGTGTTTTTACACAAACGCAACAACATATTTGTATGTTAGCGACGTTTTTAAACAAACGCCGCAATAGGGTTAATCTATAGTGGCGTTTGTTATAAAAACGCCACAAAATCTCGTACATTAGTGGCTTTTTTCCTGTAAACGCGGTGAAATTAAAAAATATATTCCCCCTTTCTCCTGCCTGGTCCCTAATTCTACATACCCTATCACAGCACAACCACCATAGCCTAGCGACCACCACCAACGTAGCATCCCGCCGCTGTCGCACTCTTCCGGTCGCCGACTACCAATGACCTGCAGGTAAGTATTTCTTCTATGCCGCACCCTACTTTCTTTCTATAACAATCCGAAATGGGCATATGTTTATGTCGTCGAAGGCCGAAACACTATTGTATCCTTTTTAGTTGGTGTAATAAAGCTGTGCGCTAGAAACCCTCCCGTTGCCAGCTAGATTTCATGGCAAATCTTTGAAGTACTTCTATTGCTTCAAGTGGTCGTGTTACAGAAATTTACTGGCTGCTTTAATTGATAATGCTGATTAATAATAATAACTGTTTATATTAATGCATTGTTTGGTTGGTGGTGATGTTAACCTTGATTTTGAAACACTGATTATTAGTTTTTTTATCTTACATTTGCAGCCGCTAGTTCCAGTTCATCAATTTGATAAACTTCCTAGTTATTACATTTTGGTGGAGAAGACTGGTATAATACTTCTCGCCGTCGACTCTGCGAACGTTCTCTAAGGGAGCTGCCTAAAAAGGCTGGAGAAAAACTTGTAATCTTAACTCAGGTTCGAACTATAAGTCTTTTCTGTAATGAAAGCTTTTTAGTTAGTCAATTTCAGTTACAAGAAAGACTGCAAACTTTGTGTCTTAGATGAATCAACATAGAAAGAAGCTTCATTTCTATTGGAAAATGATTTAACTCTATAATTTGGGATGCTACTGTTTTTGTTTTAGTATAATTTTTTCAAGTTAGTTTTCTATTCACAGGCAGTTTCATTGTTAAATTCCATTTGTGGTATTAAAGAACAAAACATGTGTCCATACCTCATTTAAAAGTCACATGTTTTTGTTTTCGTCTAATTATTTCAAGTTTGATATTTGATTCAATGTGTTTATTTTATTTTGTTTATGGCATTATGTTATTAAGGTTTGAAAGAACTTGAAGTAATAAAAAAAAACTATGTAGATGTGTTTCAAATTTGTTTCGTGATTCAGCATGTTTATTTTTAGTTTGTTGTAGTGATTAAAGCTTGAAAGAACATGCTCATATTGTATTTCTTGTCAGTAAGGATAGCATTGTACTTCTTCTGTCACATTCTTTGTTGAAGTTTGGTTCCCCAAGTCCAGCACCTTTGGGAAAAGACCAAGTCTGGCAGTTTTAAGGAAACAAATTCCATTGAAACACCAGTTTTCAGTTTCCGTACAGTATCGGTATGTCTTTCTGGGTTTCAGTCCACTTGAAAAAAAGCTTAGATGCAAATTCATGTTTCTCAAGCCAAACCTATGATTCTGAATTATTGGTACTGAAGCCACATATATTTAATGGTTTTGTGTTAGAACATAGATTGAGCACATGCTGTGTTTAAAGGATTTAAAGCATAGAGCCATCTGAATTCCTCTTTGTTTTTCACTTTGCATGTGTTATTCTTTCTTTCTCCTGAATGTTCTTAAGTTGATTCTTTACTCATAACAAGAAGGGAAAAAAGGAAAAACTGATTATTTATTTTCTTTGGATGTTGTGTTATGGTTTAGATTTATTTCGAGTAGGTTCATAATACATAAAATATAGGTCAAAAAATGTGTTATTTGTTTTTAGTATTATGATAAGTGCCCTGCCCACAATATAAGCAAATTTCAACAATGCTTGCCAGTAAAACGTGTAGGAACATTGTCCACCACGGAAAGTGACTAGAAAAAAGGGATAGTTTTCCCTTAGAACTTGAGGTTCTAAAACCCTAAAAATACATAGTATTTGTTAAAGAATAATACTATTTGTTTAATTGATTCTTCAATAAAACAGTGAAAACACACAATATAGTAATCTCTTGCATGTCCTTTCGTTAATGGCCTATAAATGGTTGGTCAGTCTTGAGCAGCTTACCATATACAAAATCAATAATTCATCTGTTTCTCTCTTCCTAGGTGCTAATTGAGTTGTTCAACTCGACTTTTATTTGTTTGCAATTTGTGAGGAAATACAAAATGGATAAGAGTTAGATGAATTTCTCAAGGGTAAGCGTCAAATATCGAAATGGAGTCGAAAACTTTCTAAATTTAGCTTTTGTGAATGCAAGCCAAGAGAATATGATTCTTTTCCCTTGTAAGAATTGCGCTAACATTAATTGGCACATTCGTGAAGTTGTGTACGAGCATCTAGTTGTTTTTGGATTCGGAGTATATAGAAAATGGATATTTCATGGAGAGTTTATATCAGGTAGATTTTCTTCCACGAGTTATTCGACTTATCCTACTACTTCTCACTATCCAACTGTTAGAGAAGATGACATGGAAGGGATGTTATGAGATGCATTTAATATGCACAATCATCATCAGCCTGTTACAGAAAATTATTGTGACAATGATGTTAATGATTTCATTGAGATGGGAATAAGTGGATGTGATGAAGATCCAAATGGAGAAGCGGCAAAGTTTTACAAGTTGCTAAATGAAATGAATGAACAACTTTATGAGGGGTCAAAATATTCAAAGCTATCTTTCTGCATTCGTCTTTTCCACTTAAAATGATTGGGAGGGTGGACTGGTAACTCATTTACGCAATTGTTGGAGTTACTAGGAGAAGTGTTTCCTTTTGCAAAAATCCCTCAATCATGCAAAGATATGAAGAAAATGATAAAATATTTGGGTCTTGGATATGACAAAATTCATAGTTGTCAGAATGATTGTATGTTGTATTAGGGTGATCGAAAAAAATCAGGAGTCTTGTCATGTATGCGGAAAATCTCGATGGATGGCTAGGGACGTATAAAATGTGAGTGAGGATGAAGCTCAAGCACGATCAAGAAAGAAACCGGTAAAGATTCTGTGATATTTTCCTCTCATACCTAGGCTACAAAGATTGTTTATGTCCTCCAAGACTGCTGAGTCTATGAGGTGGCATCATGATGGTAGAACCGATGATGGATTATTACGGCATCCTATAGATTCTTTATATTGAAATTCATTTGACAACAAGTATCCAAGTTTTACGAGATCCTCGAAATGTCAGGCTTGGTCTTGCAACTGATGGGTTTAATCCTTTCAAAATCATGAGTACTTCGTATAGTTCTTGGCTTGTTATACTTGTTCCATACAATTTGCCTCCGTGGATTTGCATGAAACAATCATCTTTTATCTCTTATCCATGATAATCCCTGGCGAGAAAGGTCCCGGAAATGATATTGATATTTATATGCAGCCGCTTATTGAAGAGTTGAAAAAGTTACGGGAAGGGGTCGAAACATATGATGTGTTGAAGAAGGAGAACTTTAATTGACACGCGATTTTATTATGTACAATTAATGATTTCCCTGCGTATGCAAATTTGTCTGGTTGGAGTACCAAAAGTCCTTATGCTTGTCCTTGTTGTGCTGCACAAACATGTTCGAAATGGTTGTTTAATGGAAAGAAGTTCTCTTATATGAGACATCGTCGGTGGTTAGCTGATAATCATAGATTTAGATGCCAAAAGAATATGTTTGATGGTGATGAAGAGTTATGAAAAGCTCTTGACCAAACAATCGGGTCTGATATATTATCCATGTTGAAAAATATCAATTTTACTTATGGAAAGATGAATCAACCAACTAATACACGATCAAAGAAAAAGGTGAAGCAGGTGAATGAAGAGTTTGAAGTTGACCAACAGAGTGATGATGTCTGATGAAGAGGATGATCCAAATGAGGTCGACTTGTGGAAAAAGAGGAGTATATTCTTCAAGTTGCCTTATTG